CCTGGATTCCAGACCTTTGGAAAGACAAAGAAAAGATATCAACTTTTACTGAAACGTGATGGCTTACTGAGTTGACAAGGGAAAATTCTAAGAGCTGACAAATGAAAACAGGCTAGTCCTTCGGAGCAACGTGAGATGAGTGTAAACAAATTTAAATATCATTTACGGCTTTTAATTTCAAGTTCTAATAAAGCTTTTTTGGCAACTGTGCTTCCTAGATCAACACAGACAGCAGTGATAACCGCTACATACGAATCTTGCAAATGCCTCTTTTTTTGTGAAGTGAAAAAAAAACCTAGAAACTGGAAATATCACAACAATTATTCTTCAGTCCAAAGGAGGAGCAGCTAAAACTTTTTCCAAGATGCAGCCTTGGTAATCTCTCAATGTATGGTGGAACAGTCCCACTCACCTTTAACATATCATCCTTAGAAGCAGATACAATAAAACTGTCATCTGAGGCAACTGCGACACGCCAAATAACGTTTGTGTGACCTTTCAATGTGACACAGCATTGCAAAGTGACGAGGTCCCAGATCTTCAATGACTGATCCTTTGATCCAGATACAATTCGCCGGCCATCCTTCATGGAAGTGAGACATTTCACTAAGCCTGCGAATGGAGAGTAAAGCGTTATGCTTAGTGCAATAGGCTCACTTCGCAGGGCAGCTACACTTGAATGTAGACAGCAAATTGAATGTTCCCAACGGGATTTGATGTACATGACCGAGAGCCTTGGATTCTATCCATCATCTTCTTCGTCAACACAATGAAATTTGTCCAGTTACTCTAAGGATAACACTGTTTATGTGTTCAGATTACTTTGGTGCTTCATTGGCCATAAGAGTTATGCCTACGAGAAGATTATTTCTCAGTGGGACTGCCCAAGTCGGACAAGTCAAAGTGCACAGACAAGGAGAAAAAAACGGTCAATTGATCCTCTAGGCTTAAAGTTAGACACATCGCGAACAACCAGGCTCTGGAAAAAAGTCTTTGTTACGGAAACTGGGGTTTCATTTGTACAACCCTTTATGCCAAAGGGACTACAGTCAGTTTTTCTCCAACTTACCTGTGTGGCCTTTAAAGGTAGCACAGCTCTTTGTCTTTAGATCCCAGGCTTTGACGGTCTTGTCTTCTGAACCAGATATGACGCTTTCTCCATCACATGTTAACGCCAGGCAGAGAATAGAGCCCATATGACCGTCAAACACAGCCTGGCATTCTCCAGAGCTAAGCGACCACACCCTTACCGTGCTATCATTGGAGCCAGTGATTATTTCACTGTTTGGTGATATAACGATAGCGTTGATTGGTCCTAGATTTAAACAGACAAGTTTGTCTTCATAAGAATAAAAATTGTTTAATTTTTCGAAACATATACCCTATTCGAGGCTAGTTCAAGTCAGGTCTTTAATGAACCGCAAGGAAAAAAAAGTAAAGAAAGAAATAACTTGACATCTTTTATTAGGAGAAACTGTTCAAACCACAAAGCATGGCTCATTAGTCGTTGAGTGCAGGACTAACAGCGATAAGGCAAACTTGTTTGAAATGTCATAGACTGAAACTAAGAGGATATTTCTTAAGTGATTATTGGTACATGTACCTCCTGTTGGTAACTTATTTTTACTTTTTTCTACCCACCTTCATGGCCGCTAAGGGTTTTCTCCTTTGTTCCAGAGAATGTGTGCCACACTCGAACAATCCCATCATCTCCACCTGTAACAACACAAGTGCCGTCAGGACCAGTAACTAAGCATGTGACTACCCTTTCATTGTGAAACTGCTGTACAGCTTCCCCCGAATCGATGTCCCATACTCCCACACTCGCTGCGGCCGAGCCAATAATGTACTTATCATCTAGAGATAAGGCAAGGCAACTTGGCCCATTCTCTACCATCTTTAGCGTGTGAAGGCAGTCCAGATTACTACTGTTCCACACATTGATGAGTGAATCCTCGCCTGAAGTGACAATAAATTTATCATCCCTTGTAACGGCGATCTCGTTCACTCTTTGCTCGTGCCCGCGCAAATTGGTTTTCAGCGGTCCACCAGCTGCGATCAGACAGGCGCATTGGGGAACGAAGAGAGGGGATTGCTGTGCATCGCACCAGCGGTAACATTGCGTAATAAGATCGGCGATCCGTGGAAACTGCTCTCTGAAGGTGAGGAGTCTTCCGAGCAGCTGAGTCGCCAGGCAATCCACATCCTGCTTGATGTTGCTCCATGCCAGGATGAGTGTGTCATGAACAAATCTTAATATGATAATAAGAACTACGTTAGGATGATTTTCATCGTACTGTTACAAAGTCAATCGAGTTGAAATATTCCTTTCTTTCGAGAAGTTTTGAAGGAAGGAAGTGAATCATATGCCGCATAAATCATTCCCCCTCAGTCCTCTTCAGCAGTTTTTGTAATTAAGCAACTTCCCATCAGATTGTTGAGCTGACTCCACTCAAGTGATTAGTGTACTTTTAATGACAGCATTTTACTTTAGTATTGAAGAAAATATCTAACAGCCTGTACATACAGAAACACTACAAAACTGACGGACCATCCTTAAGGAACCAGACTAACAACTCCTTTCTTGATTTGGACAATTCCTTTCCACTCAGGTTATCGAAACGTCAGTCTCCATTAAAGGACAATAGTCCTTTTCAGGAATCCCCTAACCCGTTTAATCAGGCTACACGATTAACTGTTACTTCTGGGTGTAAATCATGCACGATATTCTCCTCCATCATAACGATGGATACAGATGAAAAAGAGTCATGACCTCTTGTCAATAATGTTAAACCTTCCATGCAATCATTAATACTTGAGGGAACAATAAGATTTAAGCAACTATCCCCACCTTACATCCAGTTCAGGCCTCACTTCCAGAGCAACGACGTAATCCTCTAAGACCTCGCTCAAAGACTGGCCACGCACTTTTCCGTAGATCCACTCAAAATTGAATAACACTTCACTAGCCAATCTGTCACCGAGACCAGAGTAAATGAGATGAAATGGCATTTCGCTAAGCTTTCTCAAGTTAAAAACACTTTTACTAAACATAAGAGGCTGACTGGAGACTTGTCTGTCTGCATCAGGCAGTGTTTTCTTTCTGTGAGTCAGAATGATGTGCTTCTTACGTCCTCCACCCCACCTTCCTGAAAAAAAAAGGGAGATGGCTTAAGCCTTCATGCTGTGTAAACGTCTACTTAGATGGAGATAACTAATTGCTTGTAAGAAAACAGAGATAATGTCTACAGCCTTGACGGTAGTCCATGCTCATCCAGTAAACCAAGTGAACTTCATGTCAATTGTTTGTCACCTTTTTTCGCTCAGTCTTATTCCAAGCACTGGCCAATACAATTACATTTGATAAGAATCGTAGTTTGTTTCTTATAACGTGATTAACCTAACTACCTGACCCTGCATTTAGTAGAGGCACCGAAATCATACCTTCAAAATACTCTGCGAGTAAAAAATGTCTGGCCTGCTTCTCCTCGGGTCTTGACAGGTACTGGCTCTGCGCAGCCTCCCAGAACTGTCGATGGTACCAAGCAATAACAGTTTTTCCATCTGCCTGTCGCTCGGTCAGGAATTCGTCGATGTCATGACGTATACGCGCCCACAATAGGTTTGGCAAGCGAACGACACCCTCAACAGGAGGATCCCAATACTGATAAACGTCATCTATGACGTCATCATCCAGTGACAATACGTCTTCTAGCTCGTTTGCAGTGATACCATTTCGACCAGCTGTGATGTAACTGAGGGCACGCGAAGTGAGAGTCTTGCCGTGTTTGCGTTCCAGGCGTTGGAAAAGAAGTTGAATGGCTTGGCGAACATCACTTCCAAGATCCAGCCCAGTGACATCTGTGTAAGAATCCCATCTTGATGCTTCAGTAAATATCAGCTTAAGAAACAAAGGCTGAGGGCATTTGGTGAAACTTGACAAGACCAACTGGAACTGTTCGTGTGTCAAGGTTCTCCCGATTCCTTGGAGCCAGGCCTCTAAAATTTCTTGGCCCATTTCAATGGTGAGGAATGGGACTTCGATGTAAGATCTTTCTATGGGAAGACTCCGGCTCAGATTTGAGAGAATTTGGTGATAATCTGGTAGTACCGAAATAACAATCTTGACAAACTGGGGGCACTTTTTGGGGAGCCAGTTCATTAAATGAGCATTGTTTGTCGCAGACAACTGGTCTATCGAATCTAAGATAAGTGCCAATGGCTTATCACCACTGACGGGCAAACGAGTGACAAGACCGTGAAAAAATCGTACCAATTGAGAAAAGTCCTCTAAAATATCACCTTTTGGGGCTTCTAAACTGTACACTTCACATATCTGAAGGCATATACTTGTAATTGTAAATCGAATCGATGAACTGTCTGGGGAGGTACCAAGGAAACGGAAAACACAGACAGTGCCATCCCCCAGCCATTGTCTTGCCGACCTAGCGACAACGGCCATAATAGACGTCTTACCAGAGCCTGACGATCCATAAATGACCAAAGGCTCAATCTTTTCAAAGTCTTTCAATGACGTTCGTATCTTCTGAAGAACATCCTCCCGCCCTCTAAATGCTTCGCACTTGTCTTGGCAAAACCAGGCATGGTGCAGAACCTCTTTGTACAAGCCGGACTCCATCGCTTTTTCTCTTACAGCATTTTGTAAGCTCTTATTGATCAGTCTCTGAACATCTGATTCAACCTTGTCACAGAAATTGTTTAAGTATTGTTCGTGCATTCTGTCAGACACGTTTATTCCCCCATTGCTCCATGGGATTTCAAAGCGGGTGATGTTGTTATCCCCAAGCCTCTGAAGTAAACGGTCACGTTTCAATTTGTTCAAGAAGTCTTGTGCTTCGTGGTCGTGTTTCCCTTCGGAAACGTCGGTATACTTTCGAGAATTCTGATCAGTGAGATTTACTTCGATATCAGAGATGTGGCGTATATAGCAAAGAGTTTGGTCGTCAGGGCTTGAAGAACTAAGAATACCATGTTCAATTTCTTTCTCGGTCACTAAAAAATTACGGAAAAGATCATTGCATTAGTGTCCAGAGTCTAACGGGACTTAGTGTCTTCCGAAACCATTAATCAGAATTGGAACTGTAATCGGTTTTGTTGGCTTTGAATCGTATTTTGGTGCGAGGCACTTTTAATGAAATTTTACCACCACTGTTTGGGTAACTACAATTTAAATTTATGAAAAACTCAAGATGGCGTTCATCTTATAATGTCACGTACAAGCAGCAGTATAAAAATCGCTCGTGACATATTCTTCGTCTGATATCAGCGGTGGCCATGATAATTATAAAAAGTGAAGTGTCTAAGTAGCGTCCGCACCTGAGCTGAAATACTTGTGAGCTTGCTGTAATGTAATCTTCCTCCTTTCTGTGGCGGTCCTTGCGGTCCTTTTAAAAAGTCTTTGAAACGACTGAAAAATCTTCCACCATTGTTCCCTCTCCTGCCTGTGTAGCTCCTCATTGGCCTCGCTCAAGTCAGTGTAGTGAGGAAAGTGATACGTGATCGGCTGAAGAACGTATTCAGCCGGGATTGCGTTTGTGTCCTGTACGTCAAAACGTAGGAATTGTTAACTTCTAATGAAAAAAAAGGAGTGTGACAAACTCCTTATGAAAACAAAAAGAGTGACAATATTTGTCAATCTGAAGAAAACTCAAGGATAGAGTTTGCCCCCACCCCCCCCACTACTAATGCATGTTGATGTTTGCAATCGTTAACAACCGCCTTTATCCTCAAGGAGGACCCATGAGGGGGGTCTGTACCCTCTCCCCCCCCCTCCCCCCACTACTAATCCATGTTGATGTTTGCCGTCGTTAACTACCGTTCTTATCCTCAAGGAGGATCCATGAGGGGGGGTTTGTACCCTCTCCCTTCCCCCCCTCCCACATAATTAGACCTATGAGTATTTTCATCACTTTTCTGAAGACAAAATTCTTCCAACAACAGGATTGCATTGTCTTAAAATATTTCCTGGCTCGTCTGGGCTTTAGAGTAAAAAAATCTGCGTTCTCTGTTTGTACCTCCTCTAAAAATATTACTGGACTAGCCCGAATGTCTCTTTTAGTCTCAACGTTTTCTTTCCTGGCAAATGACTATTTCAAGGATAAATTCTGCACGAAGGAAATTTACAGTGAAACCAGATGTTCTTTTGATATCAATCTAGCAAATTTCCCCCGCAACATTGGTGATTTGATTGACAGTTTGATTGGAGCAAGTTGCAAGCCTCGCGAGCAATTCGCTACTCACGTTTTGGCGCTGGGTTACAATTTAATTTGATGAGCGAATTGCGAATTTTGTGGCTTTTATGGCTTACATACATCATAATCGTACCACTCCGGTTGAAAAAAGGGAACAGAAATTGCTTTATGGTCATCGATTATCGCCACAAACTGTGTCGAACATTGTGACTAAATTTCTGTTGCGTGGGACGTATTTTCCCGGTAAACCTGGTTGGAAGGAACGAACAGTTTCTATCCCCGACGTCGTAGAATTTGTAGAATATTGTAAACTAGAAACCTAGTACATACAATTCGGAAATCAGGTAATTGCATTAGTACATACAATTCGGAAATCAGATAAGTCCTTCCTCATTTTAAGGAAGGACTTTAACTTCACTTAGAAAAAACTTTCTGTCTGCCCTGAAGAGTCGCTCGGTGAGGAAAACCAAAGAAACTCGCATATCTATCTTCAAAGTACTGAAGTAGTACTTGAAACATTTTCGAAATGTCGTACCACGAGGTACGATTGAACCGAGCAAGTTGTTCGCGCAGGTTGCAACTTGCTCGCCTGGGTTGCAACTTGCTCGCGTGGGTTGCATTTGGTCCACTCAAACTGTCAATCAAATTACCAATGTTGCGGCGGAAGTTTGCAAGGTTGATATCAAAAGAACATCCGGTTTCACTGTAATGTGCCTTAGCTTTAGGGGTTAATTAAGGTTGAAAGCAAATAAAAGTCCTCAAAGTAATTTTACCTTCCAGAACCATTCCAGAAGTAAATCGATATGATCAGGTTGGTCATAAGTTTCTCGAGCCACTTCTAGCAGGATCTCAAACTCAGTTGCTAGGATTTTGTGAGGAAATGGTCGATAGCCATATTTGTCGCCTAGAAGACACTACATTGAATTCATTAGTTAGAATCACCCCTTCTTAAAACAATGGAACTTATACAGTAAAGGCAGACCTGTGATAACAAGAATCGCCAGAACTCTTGGTTCTTTCAGATATTAAACTTACCACAAAATTTGGTCCGGGCGTAAGTCTTTGACAGTTCTTGATCTCCTGCATGCACAGCTCGTTGGTTTTGTGGTCAGCAGTCGCTTCATCTCGCACGCCCCACCTCATATCCACAACTTGGAATTCTAATCCTCGCTGCTGACAGAAATTCCGTAGGCTTGGATACACATCCCTTATGAGGCGATTTCTTTCCTCCGTGGTATCTGGAGAAAAGATGAATTATGATTCGAGACTATGAGGAAAGTTTTTTCCCTTCAAGTGGATTTTTATCGACACTAAAGTGCACTGGCAATGTTTCTTTTTTTCATAACTTAGAGCAAAAAAAGAACTTTGGAGAACATCAGGCCAAAAAAAAGTCTCTCCTGTCTCTTTACGAAATTAAAGCCTCGGTTATAATGTACAAGGCCGATAAAGTTTTATTCACTCTGAATATTATACACTAAATGTATGCTTCGAAAGGAAACAGTTAACTTTGTTTTCCTGAGGCTCGAGGGAAAACAAAACTTATTGTTTCCCGAGAGACCAGTTTATATAAATATCCAGAAAAGAAACATGGTTAGGAAGAAGAAAATGAGAGTTTATAAAGGTATTCTTCCTCTTTCCCTTCCTTTTTGGCCACGATCGACCTACAAGAAGTTCACTGAAAACTGAGGGGCAACGCGAGCATGTGCAGTAAGTTTGTTTTCTAGGATGTAATATGAATGTGAAGGAGAAAAGATTTCAATGGAATAAAGGCGATAAAATTGAGAGTCATATTCGATGCCCAGCTAATTTCAAAGCTAAAATTGAACTGCAACAGGGACATCGACGCAGGCAAGGTAAAGCAGTATGAAGCTGAGCTGGACGCCATTATCACAATTCGTGTCGTTAGCGCTATTTTGATTTTTGGGCGACTTTACGCGCGCACGCTTACATTTCAGTCCGGTTTGAGTTTATCATGTAATGACGACAATATTTCAGCCCGCCTGACCGGGCTGAAATTCGCCATGTAATCACCCCCTAAGACACTCAGAAGTATCACGCCACAATCACACCACCGGTCTCGAACACGTTCTGATCACGTGCAAATCGCATTCGATTCAACAATTGTATCCTGAGCGGGATACATCTTATTTATGCAGGGTCACGTGATTACTAATTTAGAGCAAGGAAAACTGCGGGTGTATAACAACTCTCTGGGATTAGTTATGATACTTTCAGTTCCAATATTTAATTAAGAAAAGTACCTGTGAAAGTCGAGCTTGTAAATATTCGTACTATGTTGGATTCCTTTCGTGGTAAATTCGTCACATCTCCAGTGAGGACTCGTCTAATGTTGTCCGCCATGTTTGTCTCAGATTCACTAAAGTGAAAAGGGGTATGTTTCAATTATAATTGGCAAGCTATCCCTGTTTAAATCACGAACTGTCTTTCCTTTCTCTACTGGCTTTGGTTCGCAGCTTTTTGTAAGTCCAGCAAATATTGGTCCTTCAGCTTGAAGTTTCAGACCGCTAAAATATCGTATCACTCAACTCTTGTCATGACTGAAAGTGGAATAAACATTTTTCGAAAGAAAAATAAGTGGGCAATGAAACTGGCCAGTGCCCTGACAACTTCTATATTAAAATTGTTTCATTTCGCAATAAACGGTACGAATTCTGCGACGTATTCTGTGAGCAACTCATCGATGAATGCTACGATGCAGTCCCCATCGAAGTCACAACGCGCGTGACGACCCAGCAATTGTTGCAAATGAGAAAGAGCGTTACCTGATGCAACTTATTGAGGTTCCCCGACCCCACATTCATGCATGCTTCATTTTCTCGTCCACCATTTGATCTCACGCAAAACCTTGAAACGAAGACCCTGAGTGCAAATTCGAGGGTTTCACTTTTCGTAATAGACCCTTTAAAAGGTTAACGCCACCATTTTTCCGGGGGTGCAAAACTGCTGGGGTGAACGCAAAATGTACAGTGAATGTATGGGAAAAATTGAGAAATTGATGCTCGATAATTTGAGGAAGGTTGACATCGTGCAATTTCTATGAATTACAAACTAAAGATACCAGACCTGCTAGTTTACCCAATCAAATTTGAGAAATGAAGTCTCGCGAAAAAAGCCGCAAATTAAGATTCTGATTTTCCATATATTTGTCTCTAAAACCAAGCCGCCGTTTGCGGGAAAATTTAAAAGCATTTGTATGAAAAACTAAAAATAAGATTTCTCACTTCTCAGCGAGCCTGAACCCTTCACATTTAATCGGCAACATCTTTTGCTAGGTATCTTTACTTCGTAATTTATAGAATTGCAGAATTTCAACCTTCCTCAAATTATCGAGCATCCATCTCCCGAATTTTTCCATACATTCACTGTACATTTTGCACTCGCCGCAGCAGTTTTGCACCCCCGGCAAAATGGCGGCGCGGCGTCAACCTTGAAAGGGTCTATTTCCGCGCAACTACTGTTAGTTTCTACCTACTGGTGTAATGTAAATGCAAACAATTCAACGTCTGTAGAATATTTGAAGATCATCTTTTGGTAACAACTGAGTTAAAGGCAAAACCTGCCTGAAACAAACGTATTTGGGCCAACCTTGTGAAACGTTCATGACGCAATAAAATAATTGAAAGTGCTATTCAAAAACGAACAGACAGTCTGTACGTTAGATATACATCAAGATCAAACAGTAAATGATTAACGACTTTGCAATGAAAAAACCGAAGTGGCCTAATAAACAATCAGAGACCGATCGAAACCATCTAAACACACTTTTGGACTGGTCGTTTATTGAGAAAATCTCGAGCATTTTCCTCTCTCAAGTTTTGAATTCAGTTACCTCCACAGTCTCATCAGAAGACTATTTTGCTATGTCAGGTCATGAGTGCTGATAACGATTTCAAACGATTACCCTAACAACTTAAAGTAAAGACCAAACCAGGTGTTATGTGTCAGACGAACTTATCAGTATCTTGCCCGTTAGAGATACTTTTGATGAGGGTAAAATCGAAGAAAGTTGTCAAAATCAGGTCTCACTCTATCAATTTTCCTTGGTATTCATAGGCTATCGAATCGATCGTAGTTGAAAATGACACTTCCTTGTTACAAAACTTATCACCTACCATCCAAAAATAGTGTTTCAGTCTTGATATACAGTGAAATCACCAGGCTTGATCAGCAGTTTGAAGATAAATTTTTTACAATCATTTTCTTGTCTATGAGTATTATGCAAATAGTTCTTAACCGTTCAGTTACGTTACTTTGCATAACAAAAAGCTTTTTTAGATGTATGTAAACGGAACTTCTGACTCTTTTGTAGCCCTTCATCGAAAGAAGATATTCACAGTTACCGTCGTCGTAAGCTAGAGAAATTTGACATATACTGTACTTGCATTCAGCGAAATTAATACAAATCAGTCTCAATTTATCGTCTATGATTATAATTTCAGATCAAGTTTACCGGAAACACAGACAAACTTCCGGTTGACCAGGCGCCCGCGCGAGGACTTGAAATGCGACCTGGCCTTTTGTCTTCGAAGAATGAACCTAGTCAAGGATAAAATACATTTACATTTGGTACTACTGAATGTTATATTTACGTGGCTTTGACGGTCTTCAAATCTTCCGTTTGGCTACGAATTTGAAGCAGACGAAAATTAATTTAACCAGAACGTTTCACGATGAATTCAGTTTTGAACGAGGCTCAGTTAAAACGCCTTTCGGAGCACAAATATAGCGCGCAATGCGTATCGATTCTGGACCCTTGGTTCCAAGTTTACTGGCGATGGCTTGTGGAACAACTTCCCCTGTGGTTAGCTCCAAACACCATTACAATCTCTGGATTAGTCATCAATGTAGTCACCTCGCTTATTTTAATGTGGTATTGTCCTCAAGCCACAGGAGAGGTAAGATTTGTTGTAGAAAAAGAACTTTCCGTTTCAATGTTGTTCAATCTTTCGATTTATTCGCGGTGTTTGAAGCTAGTTATGTTGGTGAATAATACATGTTTTGCTTTGCTTTGTTTCGTCCATTTTAGATTTTAATTTAATTCATTAAAAACATTCTTTTTCGGAGTGGAACTGATAATGTATCTTCAACTTTAAGATCTCAATTACACTCAGTGGCTCAATGAATTTACACGAAAGTAATGGTAATGCATTTGTTGTGTTGAGCTTGTATTTAGCTGAGCTCTGGAACTTTAATAGCGTGCTTTGATAGTAAATGTTTACAGTTAGAATGATTGGTAAGTTTAAATTGCCGGTTTAGAATAAATCAGTCGATTGAGCCTGCTTTATTTGCGGTTCCTTAAGTTATTGAAACTTGGAACTTTCACAAATTCTAAAGAAACTTTAACAAAAAATTGTTCTTGTTTGTCATCAAACCGTGATATTGTTTAATAAAGGAGAACTAAGATTGTTTATAATTAATCACTGTATTTTAAGTAGTAATGCATCCAGCTGGGACATTTTAATTGGCATTAACTAGCTGTTTAATGAGTTTTTTTTTTTTTAGCCCTCAAAAAATTAAACCAATGTGTAATCAATACTTATGCAGGAAACCAAATAAACTTTTTAAAACGAAATAGTTTCATCAAATTGACCTGACATTATATTTGTTATTGTTATTGAATGATAGATATTACCACGGAAATCAACAGGAGATAGTGCAAAGTCTATCCATCTGTTATATATCTGTGCTGTAAATCCTCTATTAAGCCCCCCTCTAAAAAGCCCCCCCTCTAATAAGCTCCCCCTCTAAAAAGTCCCCCCCTCTTTAGAGAAAGAAATTTGTTAAGCCCCCCCACTTTATTAAGCCCCTCCCACCCCTCCCCCTCAAAAAACAAACATTCAAAATAACACTCTAGGTCAGAAAGTATGATAAATTTATTCAAGTACTGTAATTTTAGTTTGTCATTTAAAATTGATTATGGTGATTGTTTGATGTTATCATGTTGGACTTAACATCAGAATTTACTGAGGATTTTGACTCTGCCAGATTGGTAAATGAAAAAATGTAAAATGAGAACAATTTTTTACTAAATACTGTACATCATATCCTATTGTATCCTGGTAGTGAACTTCAGGCTAAATTAATAAGGGCCCCCCCCCTTCTCTAATAAGCCACCCCCTTAAGTACCTGAAATAAATAAGCTCCCCAGGGGGGGCTTATTAGAGGATTCACAGTATGTCGAAGAAATCTAAGGTTGAGATCAGTTTTGAAAGTGATAAGCATCTGGCCTATTGTTGGAGTTCAAGTGTAGTCTGACAAGTACCTGTTGGTTAATTTGTATTTGGATTGCTGGGGTAAATTTCTCATGCAAGGATGCAAATCTCTTACACACACCTCTGTTACTGAGCCTTTTAGTAACACAAACATTTTAAACTTGCAAGTTTATCCCAAGGAGTGTGGAATACCCTTGGTTATGATTTATACGTAGTCAGTATGAGTGGAAATTTGTGGTGAAAACAATATATGCCTAATGTTTTCCAGCTAGGGAACAGTTAGTTTTGTTTTCCTGTGAGTCTCAGTGCTTCCTTAATCAAAGTAGAGGGAAACATGGGACTTTTGCAAAAACAAAACTAACTGTTTCCTGAAGGACAAGATTTAAATGCTTTATTATACACCCAGAGGACCAAAGTAGTAAACAAGGAAAAAAATCAGCACAATACCAGTACTTATTTATTCCATATCAACATTGCACGTTTCTACCTTTAAGTGTTAAGAGCTGTATTTTTGGAGTCCTGGTCCACAAGTTTATTTTTATTATATTCCATCACTAGAACATGAGAAACTGCAGGTGTGTAACAATGTAGGTTGTTTTCTTATCTATATTTGATGATTGATCTTCTGTATCTTTGCAGGCACCATGGTGGGCCTTTTTCTTGAGTGCTTTGGGACTGTTTGCATATCAGTCTCTTGATGCTGTTGATGGTAAACAAGCACGGCGTACAAAAAGTGCTTCACCATTGGGAGAATTGGTAGATCATGGCTGTGACTCTGTTTCCATGGTGATAATGATGTTGGCTATCAGTGTTGCAGTAGAGCTTGGGAAACACCCTAGCTGGATGTTCTTCATAACATTCATGGCAACCTTCATGTTTTATTGTGCTCACTGGCAAGCTTATGTTTCTGGTACTATAAAGTTTGGAACGTAAGTGTGTAAAATCTCTATTCTGTTTCAGCAACAGGAGAAAGAGAGCTTTTCACATTACTGATTTAAGAGAAACTCCACCCCCAATGGATGTAGACCCCTGAAGTAGGTCTTGCTTTTTTTTAAAGGGAAATAGGTGTAATCTCTTGTTATTGGAAAGTTAACCAAACCAGAATTAAAAGGGATAAGTTTCTAAAGAAACTATGGTGCTGCATCTATGGGAGTAACAAGATAATTATGATGGTTTTATCAACCGAGTTGATGATGTAATTTGGTCACCGTAAAGAGTTTCAAAGCTGATGTTTAGAGCATTAGCCCCTCGTCAGAGTGAAGGGCTAATCAATTAAAATTTCTTGCTCTGAGGAAGGGCTAATGCTTGAAACTTAACTTGATTTACACATCCTGGTATATGTACACGAAGCAAAGTTGAGCCCATTTTGGCTTGTGGAAATTTCAGATTTGATGTAACAGAGATTCAAGTTGCTGGCATGGGTATATTCATAGTGTCTGGAATCTTTGGTGTTCAAGTATGGTCCCAGCAGGTAGGCTTGCTTCTACAATTGTTATGGTTTGTGTATGTGAGTGTATCAGATATGATGAGTATGTTACATGGCTAATGCTGCACATTTAGTGCCGAGCTGTGCTCATCTGTATGGTACATGTATGCAGTCATCCAAGGTAATCATGTTGAATTGTCATTGTTGATGAGTGACCAAAAAAACAGAATTTCTTCTTAGAATATTTATAAACACAAAAATAAGTTAGCTATCAGTTAAGGGATTATATCTGTTGATCCAATACGAGATTCTCAAAACTAAAATAAGATTGGTATGGCAGACAGTAAGGGGGATTACTCCTGAGATCTTGGAAGTGAAATGGTTGATGTATGCATTTGTTGGAAAGTAATGTTCAGACATGATAAGGAACAGGTGTCTACAACAAGAAATCTGGCCTCCTCTTTGGGACTGAGTTGAAAAGTGGCTTGTTCAGGGATTTGCCTGGTGGACAGTGAGAAAGTGAAGCTGATTGCCCTGCAGGAAAATCAATGGCTTTTTCAGCCAGAATTTCCTCTTTTTGTACTACATATACTTACTTAAAGTCTTTTTTCTCCACACTTTGTTGGAATAAAGAAGTAATTGCTATGTATCCTGATTCTTGATTATGACCAGGTTCCTTACTTCAGTGTCACATACAAGGATGTTATCTTTGGGGGTACTATGTGTGGAACAATTTACAATCTTTCATCAATATTTCTTCAAATATATAAAGGTGGAAAGGGGAAGAATGGATCCACAGTTGCTGTAAGTTTTTTCTACTATCATGAAATTTTCTATATCGCTGTTACTGCACAGCCTTTCAAAGAGGCAGTGTACTTACAGTTAAATGAACACAAGTGTTCCCCCACCCCCAAGATGGGACATGCATGCAATTTGCAAGGACTGCACTTGCAAGGGTTTACATGTAGTTGTAGTAAATAACAACAATTTACGGCACTTCTGATATCTGAAGTAAGGTTTTTTTTTTGTCATTTCGATTTTAAAAAACTTTGTATTTTTGTTTGCAGAAAGCAATCATTTCTCATTTCTCTGAGCTGTTATATGGATTCAGGAATGTCATACTATAAAGATGTTAAAATGTGATGTTTAATGTTTCTGTGGGTAAAAAGATGTACTGTGGTGTACTATGCACAGTATTGGTTTGTTCAGGAGAAATTTTACTCTTTCATTGAGAAAACTCAGGGAGTTTTGAAAACCAATGACTGTGGGAACCCTTAATGGGCTTTTTCTCTATACCTACATTTAATTAGAAACTTTAAATGTTATCTCCAAAAGTTGCAAAATCACGGGCCCATTTTCTAAATTACTAGTCATACAAAGAATTACTTGGTTGTGTTTGTTTTTCAGGGCACTAGGGTTTTATCACCATTGTTTCCTATTGCTGCTATGTTATATATGGCCTATCTTACTGCGACAACCTCCTCCACAAGTGTATTTCGTAAGCACCCATGTTTATTTGTCATGGCGTTTGGATTGGCGTGTTCCAAGATTACAATCAAACTAGTGGTATGTGCTATGTGATTATTTAGTAAAGAATAAGAAGGATGGTAAGTTTTGAGCTCGGAAAAGAATTTAAGATTGATGTTTATCCTCTAGTCACGAGCGTGGGACAAAAGGAAAAAAAAAAAAAACTAGAGGATAATCATCATCAAGTTTTTTTTTTCCTCTATCCCACGCTTTTGACTAGACGATAAACATCATTCTTTATTCTTTACCGAGCTCAAAATTTACCACCTTTCTTATTCTTTACAAAACATGACGCTATCGACATTGCCAATCCTAGCAGTATGCGGAGTGCGTGTCATATGTGAACTTTGTGGTAGGCCTTGCTCTCCATTGAATCTCTGTGGCTTAGTGGTAGAGCATTGGAGTGCGGAGTCCGAAGGTCTGAGGTTCAATTCCTAATGGGGACTTAGAATTTTTCCTTTGTCCCATGCTCTTGACTATATAATAAAGATCTTTCTTTATGTGATTGTTGTGTCTCAGGTACCTTTGTTTAATTCACTAGTAAAGGCTTAGGCAAAGTTCTTTGTAAAGATGAGGGTGAGGAGAGAGTCTTGCAGTAGTTTAGCGTGTCATTAGGAGTTGGCTCTTCTGTTATTTAAGAGTTTCCTGTTATCTTGACTGATAGGGAGGTCATTATACATGTATCTTTTCATTTAGAATTTTTAAGAAACAAGAGATTTTCTTGGAAAAAAATGACAAACAAACCCGCCTGAATCTTGATTTTTACAAACACGTCATTTCTCAGCGACAGAAACAAAGTTATGTTCCTCTCATAAAGGGAAATCTACATTCCAACATTGAGTGCCTTTGGGGTCAAAAGGAACAGCTTGGCATCTCAACTCTTATTTCAACCCCCAAGAATGATTAGTAGCAGAAACTGTGGAACAGTTTCGGTACACAGTGGGCAGACAGGATCGAGAATTAGCGTAGAGATCTACCAGGAGATACAATTATAACACCAATCCTCAACCAAGAAAAAATGCATTGTCATCAGATCCTAGATCAGATCTTAGAGAGCAAATTATTTCTTTGAAACTGCAAGAATAATTATTTTTTGCCTAGAGCCTTTCAGTTGTTCGTCCTCCAGATACCTTATTAACATTGTCTTGACTGTCAATAGGTTGGTTGTATGACACGGAGTCCAGTTGAATTCAAAGATTCCACTATGATCGGAGGGATTCTTCAGATTCTTAATATTCATTACGGCTCTCCAATTGATGAATATGTTTTATTGTGGTGTATGATGGTAAGTCTCCTGACATTTTTTCACGGGTGGATTGCCACAGTGTACAGTATATGTGCTACAACAAGTGAAAAAAAGAAAAAGTAAGCAAGTTGATACCACGAAATAAGCAAGAAAGGGAAAACTTTGAGAAACCGCGTTGTACTTTTGGCAGCCTTAGAGAACCATGAAACAGAGAAACACAGGGTTGCCACGGTCAGGGAAAAGTCAGGGAAAAACAAAAACTTTTCAAGGTCAGGGAAAAGTCGGGGAAAATCTTAGTTCTCGTCAAAGTCAGTGAAAAGTCAGGGAATTTTGTTTTGAGGGTTCCACAAAGGTTTGTGAAGTAGTCGATCGAGTGTAGCAAATCGGATAGAAAGCTTAAAAGCGATGGAGAAATGTAAAAGTGGATTTGGCCTGTTTGATAATTAATTTAATTCAAGGTCAGTGAAGAATGTTTTGAGGTCAGGGAAAAGTCGGAATTTTTTGGGTTCTAATGAGTGGCAACCCTGAAACAGATTCTGCGTTCATTTCCAAGCACAACCAAAGCCAAATAACGCCATGATCCTCGCAAATGAGCGGCAATTTTTCAGCTGTTGCTTGAAAAAAAATTCAGGTCTCGATGGGATTTGAATCTGTGCTAGTTGGGAGCTACGACAAACTGAGTTGTTGCCAAGCCTTTGTATAGGAGTGAGAACAGGAACGTTGCTGCTTTTCAAATACTGGTCTCTTTAACAACAAGGTCACCTTCAGCCTCACTTCAAATCAAAGGCTTGGGAACTAAGTACACAATTGTAAAATGGCCCATTTGGGGATACCGCTGTACCTTCTCTATTGACTGCGTCTTACCCGTCTATTCCAGGGTCATGTGTTGTTTGAACAGCTGCGGTACAACTTTGCTCTTGGTACGGACATCTGTGACTACCTTAACATCAGCTACTTCAGAATAAAACCTATGAAGAAAGAAAAGGATAAATAGCACGCTGTGACCTTTAACCTGCTTTGAGTAACCTCTGCTTTTTCTCCCTTCGACCTTTTTCTAACCTTTTTGTGGACTGTGTAGAGCGGTATTCACTGTGAAACTTATGTAAAACCAAGATCAAACGGGGTCGAGAGTCGGTGAGAGTGGTTCTTCCTTCAACTGTCATCAATTGCTGTAACTGTACAGGAAAATTTGCCGTAGGTGAAGGTCGGGATATGCAAGGTAGCAAATCAGTGCGTTAGGTCTCCGCGTCTATTGCTCCCAAAGCAAGCCGATAAGGGTGATATTCTTGCTGCGATCATACGCAGGATATCAAATAAGTGTGTTCTTACAGTGCGTGTTTCGGGGGAAAATTTTGTCACGTGTACGAAGGTTTTTACCAAACTATTCCATGTTTTACCAAGTCAGCTAACACAAAAACTGATTGAAATAACTCTCTTGGACTTATTTTACGTACAGGGCTTCCCAAGAAGGAGGAGGGGGGAGGGAGGGTGGCTTATAAGAGAGACGGGTGAGGGAGCTGATCACAAGCCCGCTGAAAGGGAGTCGTCATTTTTTTATCTTTCCTCCCTCATAGCCTTAAAATGCCGTGTGCAGAAACTTTCAAACACATTTTAACTACCTCTATACAACTCAAGTAGGTTACAATGCCACGGTTAACCTTTTGCATAGCATTTCATGTTTTGCCCTTTGTTTGTTAGTGTGTTTTTGTTTGTGGAAGAGTAAGGAGTGGGTGGGGTTGTGAAAGGAGGGGGGCTAGGGAGATGCGGTACCCCTGGGAACTGTTTGCACGTCTTGTCGCCATGACTTGTTGCTGAGTATGTTCCAACCTGGACAATAATTTTACCCGTAAATCTGTCTGTCAAGCAATCGATACATTTCGTTTACTCGAAAATTTCATTAGGTGAATCCGCCTTGCCTTTACAACACTGGTTGCCAGCCGTTTTCGCCGACTCTCGTCCAATTTGTTTGTGACTTCGTCATGTTGCGATTTCTTGCTTACCTTTTTTATTCATGACATGCTGTTTCTTTTTCTTGCTTTCTTGCATCTCTGTGGTGTTTTTCCGTCTCAGAAAAATGTGAATCTAAGACATTTTGTGATGGAAATAATCTTACTCGCTACTGGAGAGCTTTTCGATCGAGTGTCGTCAAATCAAAACGATCACGGCGGCCAATCAGAAGACAGGAAAAAACCGTCAAGAGCTAATTAGAACTAAAGTGAAAACAATCGAGTAAAGCGCGGGAAAACGTAGGCGCCCAAGTCGCGATTGGTTTTTAGTTTTGCATCTGATTAGTTGAGAGAGTGGCGCGAATTTCTTGGACCAATCACAGAGCGGAGAAAAGCAAAACCAAAGCAGTCTCGAATTACTTTCGGCACTCAATTGAAGATTTCTCCGAAGCGACCCTCCAAATTGTGAGGTACAGTAGCTTCTATAAACGCTACTATAACATTTTTATATACCAACCAAAAGGACACGTGTGGTATTAACTGATGTGTGAAGTTGCCAGGAACCAACAGGTCGTGTGTTACAGTTAAGTTGGTGATTTGAAAAATTAATTCATTTTTAATAGTATGTATTGTAATATGTTTTGGAATTTGAGTTATTAATCGCATCTGATAACGCCCTTTCACTCTTAGATAATTTACTCAATTTATATCAACTTTTTAATTTCTTTGGTTTGGTCAAATTGACTTCCTCACTTTTGGATTTGGTTTAAGTTTACTGCGAAGACAAAACGGCTTATTGCCTATTTTTTTTTCCATTGGCCAGTACTTTTTGAAATAAATTAGTTACTTCCCTTCTTAAAACGTAAGTATTGGTTCTATGCCTTCTTGTCATTAGCAAAATTCTCGAAACAGGCAAGAGGAGGGGAGTGTGTTACAAAATTTGTCTCGTATCGGTGGAAGTCAAAATGAATTGAGGTCTGGTGTAATTCTGACTCGCGATTGACGCTGTAAAATGCTTATTTACAATTTTTCTGCTAATTACAGTTCCTTAGGCTCGCTTTGAGTTGTTTTTTAAAGAAATCTTTTGATTGTAAAGTCAATCGACATGAGGTCATCCTTAGGATTTGCTCAAGAACGTTAAAGATGTTGAATTATTATTATAATCTATATGCATATGGAGTTCGCTAGTACCCATTGGAACTACACTCGACACTCTTTTGCAAATTGCTCTAACTGACCAGATGACAATTCGAAAGGATTTCTCGTTATTTTTTCATTTTTGTAGATCTCTTAACTCAAGACCTATCTGAATCGGGGTTGCTTATTGAATGGAAGATTATTGTTGTCTTGCAGCAGCTATGGCATCTTGTCATGTTTTATCTTGTAAGAATCGGACTAAGTAACATCCATTTAACCGTAATTTTAGAATTTAGAACGCGAAGTAGTGTTTGATCTAGGCGTGCGATGCCGATTAATATTGTAGCTTATTTTAAATATTGATTTCTCTCTGCATACACGGTGGTAACTTTATCACCAAGGTATGAAAAGATTATTTATTTGAATATAAATGCTTCAGTTTTGTTATTGACCCAGTTGGTTAGTTTGTTGGCAGGTCCCGTCTTGTTCTTGTGATGGACTGAGAAGAAAAGCAGGAGCTGAGCCGTTCGTTTCATTTGTTGAAAAATGTAACAGACAGGAAACACTTTATGCGAATGTACACCGCATGATTAGGTTTGGTTTTGCGAGCCGTAAGTCGAGTCGAAAACGCGCGCAATACTACTATATTTGAGCACAATTCGATTACGTTTCGCAAACCAAAGTAATTAAAAAGGTCATTCAGAAATGAAGACACCAGAAGCCAATGAGAACAAAAACTTAAATCAAAGTTGGCAAACGCGCGTAACCAAGTCACGGAATTGGTTAGTTTAATTTTGTATCTGATTGGTCGAGAGGATGGCGGGAGCTAAAGGGGACCAATCAAAGCGCGACGTGAGATAAAGCCAATGCAATCCCGGTTTACTTCGGACACTCACTAGAGAATTGTTCTAATGCACTAAACAAACTTAAAAAAAAAGAAAGAAAAAAAACCAACAATCCGTTATTTTCAGTTTATTAGTGCGTGTACTACTTGATCAACACTACACCCTTGTTTATTCCTAGATATTAATTTATCAACATACTTCTCCACCATAAACTTACCTTTAATATCTAGTGTTCATGTCTACATCAGGTAAGGGTCTCCAGACACTTCAACCAAAAGCCGAAATTGACAATCGCTAAACACGATCGTACGTTTTACTGAAACGGGCATCTCGTTTCTTCATGAAAATGGTGCAATATTTGACAACTCATTGATAAAAACCCGGATTAAAATGCTCAGCAGAGACTCGCGAAAAAATGCCAATGCCTTGCGCTTAATTTTTCTAATCTAATATAATTTTTTTGATTTTGCACTAACCACGCATTACAACTACATTTACTAAGGTTCTTGATAGTAATGAATTTATTTTTATTTATTTAAAAGTTCATATTTCATAGGAGATGTAAAAATATTGACGGGCCCCTGTCTTGATAATAAGAAACTAGAATTTCCTCTTCTTGTTTTCAGGTAACAGACTTTGAAATATAATTTAAGTTTGGCCCTTTGCTACGGAACATAAATATCACCTCACTCTTCTCCCAAATTGTTTTCAAATACGCAATACACAAACCCTTTCGCCAAGCCTTGTTCTTCCTTGGTTTTTAAGAGCCATTTTGGTATTTTCACACCGTAATATATTATTCATTAACAAACCATTAGCCATTAATTAAATACGGCAAACTAGAACATTTTCTCTTTGGGATCGTTTAGATTTAATACGAAGCCACAGCAATACTTGTGTTGTTCTTCCACACAATATTAAAATCATTTTTCTCCTGACAAAACAAAAAGAAACTTGACCGAGGTGAAAACCGTAGATCTTAAAGGGACATGATTTTGGTGATGACGATACTGACAAACTTGAACCCAACCGTTTGAAAATCATTCCCAACACTTCACAAGTAAAGTTACAACGATTGTAAGAAATTGACGAAATTGTTTTGGTACTAATCAGAACAAAAATCGAAAGAGAATTTCATTCATTTCTTTCAGCTTGAAAATCTTAATCATTATTGAATCATTCTTAAAAATTATATCAAAATTCATTCATGTTTGGGTCTGTGCTCTGCATGACTAATAGCACTATCGCTTCCTTTATCGTGATTGACCCGGAAGCCGCCGATAATCGAAGGCCAAAATTGCCATACCGTCCACGCAGTCCAAGAGCCGAAGAAAAGAATCCAGAATGCTGTCACGTGAGCAGGAAAGGGTATGCTGATGGTTTCCCAACCGAATTTAACGCAGATTAGCACTTCTGTTGAGACAATGGCGGCGACAACCCAGGCCTGTTGTCCAAACCGCTTGCAGGTACTGTAATTAAAAGAGAGGAACGGCAAAAATTTCATTTATACCGTAAAGCTTCTTACAACTATTTTTCAACAAGAGGTCTTTGATTCTTCCCAGAAGTGTTGATCTACGTGGCCGTAAAGCCTGCCAGTTCCACCTCCAACTGCCAGGATGTAAACAAAACTCCAGTCAAGTTACCGGAAGGAAACTTAAATGATCGCACTGGGCTTGTTACAAAATTTACTTACATCACTTTCCCTCCCTAGTAGCTTACGAAAAAGTCCTCATTGTCAGGGTTGCAAGACAGATGTTCTCCGCCTACGGTAAAATTTTAGACGAGTCGGTGACAAGTTTGCCGGGGCTCTAGCACTAGTAATCGACGTTTGACAGCCCCTTCCAGACTTCTCGCCGGCTCACGGGCCTTAAACTTTTCCGCGGGCGAAGACACACTCTAGCCGAAGCCTTAACAATAAAACTTATAACTTACGGGTCGTCCATGTATCTAAATGTTTCATTCAGTGCCACAGCTCCCATCCCAAGGTACAGCGCCATACGAACTTGCATGATGAAATGAGGTGGAGGAATCCACAAAATAAACTTCATGTAAAACAGGTTTAACTCGGCCAGGAGGAACTGAAAAACGAATTGATAACTGTTAGTGAATTTGATTGCAAACACGAACAGAGCAATTTTCAATAAGTATCAAAAATAATCCGGAATTACATTGTCTTTGCTTTACGTCGTTATCTGATTGGATCAAAAATTTCGTGCTATACTCTTAAACAATCAGATTCTAAACTATAACCAATCGCCACCCGGTGACTAGCCTGCGAACAGGCTCCCCGTCAGACGTGGGGACACATGAAGAGGAGTTCCCCTTCCCCTGCTTCGCGCCGTTGTGCTCCTCCAAGCCGGGAGCCTGTTCGCAGGCTACCCGGTGACTCGCGCTTTCCCGCGCTTGTTTTTACTTCGAGCTCTCACTGGTTCCTCGTGATGTCTTCCTTGCTATGATTGGCTGGCTGACGCGATCACTATGGTTTTGGTTTTTACGACCCTCATTCGAAAATCGCTCTGAGAGCACAAGAACAGCATGATCTTTAACATACCATAGCAGCAATTCCACAGACTGCCAGCCATCTAGTTAGACTTGTGGTCGCTTTCCAGTCATAAGACGTCCACGAATAAGGAGTGAATTGAGCAGCAACTCTTTTGAACTTGCCACTGACAAAAAAAAATCTATGAGAGAAAAAAAGGAGTGGTCAAAAACTGTTCAGCTAAAAAGCGTTCGCGAAGGAAGACTCCTCACAAATTTGTGTTCATCTTCACTTCAGAATGACGAGCGGACAAAATCCTTCCTATAAGTTTTTCACTTCAAACATGTTTCTACTGGTTCAAACTAAAAGGCCAATATTCAAGGTCGCGTCAAATTAAGATCGACCTACAGGAGGTCACTGCTTCGGGTATTGCGTTACCAAAACTTTCGGGCGGCACGAGTTTTCCGGAAGTTGAAACGTTAAAAATCAACCGTGAACTAAGTGAACTGTCCTCGACGTGGTGACGAAAAAATGGCGGTTAATTTCGATTCCACCATTACTGCAAATTATGGTCAAGTAAAGATTTTGAGAAAGTCAAAAAACATTATTCGAGGCTACGAATTAAATACGACCAAAAAGTTCACTTTGTTCAAAGCCTCAAAGGATTTCGGGCTGAAAGGTAGGGTGCAGTCCTGATTCTGAAGTCAAAATAAAGCAACTGATATAGTAGTCTCCTTCGACTACTGATATAGCCGGTTGCCCTATAATTCTCAACTTCCGGTACAATCGTGCCGTACACGTGACGTCTTCGCAAGAGAAATCCGAAGATGTTACCTCCTGTAGATCGAATTT